CCACGACAATTCACACACATTTGATTGTCACTCGTCTCTGATATACATAATACACTGTTGATCCTTCTATACATCTAAATAGGCAACGTGAAATATTTCTTTGCGTAGTCTTTCTTTGTTCCAGGAAATGAACGAGAACGTTCGACAAATTATTAGGGACAATTCGCTAAAAGTGTATGTGTGTATGTATGTATGTATACGTGTGTGTACGTGTGTGCGAGAAAAGAAACATATTGGACCCCCGCAACCTCCTAGCATGCCCCTTGCACACTATGATCGGAATTAAAATATGCACATATAGACGAACGATTAAGGGCGAAGAGGCGACGCTTTAAAGGGAGAAAAGCATCCGCTCTTGTTAGCTTTTTAGCCAGCGAAAATATGTAGGCGGCATATGCTCCGCAACGGCGATTCGCGGCCAAAACGAGGACCGCGTGGATATATTGATTTTCTTTCCAGCACCTTTCCGACGTTTCGCCAATGTTTTAACGTCGAGATATAGTCATCGCCGTTCACGTACGCGATAGTGGCACGTTACACAAGGATAAACCGCGAAAAATCTGTATTGATTTCCTCTTTTGACATATTGCAGGGAATATCCGTAAAAAATTCTCTAAAAAAAAAAAAGAAAAAAAAGAAGAAAAAAAAGGGATAAATGTCGAGGACACTCGCCTCGACATTTTGTCGAATCAGTAGCTTATAAAATTAGATTTTTCGTTCGGAGTAGACAGACCAGTTCGAATAATATTTACTAGAAATTCAATTTTGAAATTTCACTCTGACAATGTGGTTCACGTTTACCCTGTGTAACGATACAGAATTGTACAATTTTATATATATATAATGACTTATATTATGTTGATTGATACAGGTACATTCAATGTGAATACGAATAACACACAGCGCTTTTGAGAGTGGTCGATTAATTATTGAAACTTATCTTCGCGAGTTAATTTCTCTCTATTATATACAACGCGAGTTCGCGCAGTTCGAGCGATTTTCTTTTACGATTTCAACGAGGCTTCAGTGGATTCGGGAAGAGTAAAAAATAAATATGATAATACTATTCACACGCATCTACATATCTGATAACGACGTCTGTGTGTGTGTTGACAGTTCCATACCGACGGTATTGATCCAATTCCCCTGGGTCTAAACAAGCAATAGCGTTATATAGTTGCTTATCTATAATCCTCTTTGATGATTTTCAAGCCCAAACTAATATTGACGACGTCACGGAGCACATTATGTTTGACTAATTTTCTTGTTTGACGTTTCTACGACACATAACACACGTAAAGTGTACAGTTTAATATATATTCTCTTATATACTCATATGCATTATTGCTATGCTTGAGATAATGCCTTTAAACTTGAACAGATGTGTGTAACTATAGTTAAATATATCTCTGAATTAAAAATTGCGTTATACCTTTTTCATTTAACAAATTACAAAATCGATAAAATATTCCGACAAAATATGAGAATATAGCACAACTTCTTTTTAAAATATCCGATATGTTAAATTTTATTCATCATCCCATTTAGCCTCGACGATGTAATACACTGTCATTATATCTCTTTTTAAACTGTACATATTGTTATTTATAAATTCCAATATTCAATCTTTCAACTTTTGTATAATATATAATTAGCTTGTACACATTATCATTTTGTTAGCCTCGCAGAGAAAGATGTAAAAACATTAAAGTCGAAATATTACGCTTGTCTTGTTTATAATTTGTATATAAAAATTCCACTTTTACATGTTTGATCAAAGCAAGTCCGGTATTGCGAAGAAAACTGCAAGAGGAACTATCTGTCACGCGGCATTATTGCCAAGGTGTTCCCTTTAGAGAAACTTATAGGAAGGCGTAACAGTAAAAATGACATACGTCTCAGAATTGAACAAAATGGGAAAACTAACTATTGCCGTATTTTCTTGACAAACTGCTCCACGAGACGGCGCACGTTCGCTTCAAAGCAAAGTCACGAGCCGTTTCCGATTAATTACACCTACCCAGTTACCTCTCCCATTGAACACTAATGTAGCTTCCTTCACGCTCGGCTGCACAGCAGCCACAGCAAATTAAACTCTTGTCTTTCCTCACGAGACATCAGAAAGATTAATCGGGGCGTATGTCGACAACGACGACTTCTGCATCGTAAGACAGTCTTCGTCGTTTTACGCACGATTAATAACCCAACGACACGTCCTACCGGAGTCAGAAAGCCGTGACGATTTTCAGACAGAGATATACACGATGTCTTCGGTTGGCCCGCACGAGAGACGCGACGACACAAGATACAAATTGACAATGGAACGAGCTTAATCCTATTTTGCCTGTTTGTTCGCTTGCGGCAAGCTCGCACGACGGAACGGGGGAAAATCCGGGGTGTCATCGAACGGTTAAGGTCTTGTGAAGCGATACCGGTACGGAGTCCAGGCGAACAGTTCTGAGGGAAAAGAATACATATCCATTGTGTATCCATCGTATTTCACCCGCCACGTCCTCTAAGTACGTTTAGCATGCAAGTGGTGACCAGCGCTGAGAACGTCGCGCTGTCTCAGCCATTTTCGCGCCGCTTGGGATGCAAAAGTAGCACGCGCTCTGAAAACGTCCAGCTCGCTCGCACTTGAAAATAAATGAAGCATTCCATCCACGTCGTTTCGTACTTCGTCAGCGTCTATCCGGTAAATTCACAGTTTCACCCGGATGCACAAGCTATGACTGCATCCTCCCAACGCTTTCGCTCCTATTCGCTACTCGCATCTTTCGTTAATTCAATTCGAAGAGCGAAGGACATCAAAGAGACCAAGTTTCCGTTTCACCACTCTGATTTCCATATCGGTTAAACTTAATCATATCATTAACTATATCTAATTACGGTTAAATTTAATTATAGCTCGTTTCTCTTGTACTAAAGTCTTAGAGAGTAGAGAGAGAGAGAGAGAGAGAGAGAGAGAGAGAGAGAGAGAGAGAGAGAGAGAGAGAGAGAGAGAGAGAGAGAGAGAGAGAGAGAGAGAGAGAGAGAGAAGAGAGAGAGAGAGAGAGAAAGACCAAGATCTTGATATTTTTTTTTTTGCGAATCTTGATTGACTTTCACTCTTCGATTGTGTAAAATGGAAATCAAAAACCAGTTAAGTGTCAAAAGCAATATCCTGAGTTTGAAGTGGTCGGAATGCAGTTTCTGGCATTTAACTGATAATTAACTTCCGCTTTCTATCCTCAGGCAGTCTGTCTCGATGCAAGCTGCCGTTTCCAGTTGCGCTTATTGCTCGATGATAAAACATGCCAGATTGCTACATATCTGCTGACTGATTTGTACAGATGTCCAGGTGAAGAAGTACAAACATAGATATTAAAATGTCATCTAATGGATATGAAGATGATAGTCAGCAGTCAAAAAAATCTTGTTGAGGTAAGCGCGTATCGCGCAAGACAAACCGTCTGATGATGAGCTATAAACATCTACATCTGTGCTGTAAACATCTACATGGAAGGAACGAAACGAATAATCGAGTGATTTATCAAATGATCGGTACTGAACGATTCGACGACTCTTACTCTTCGAGAGATAAATAACAACCCAATGTGGGCATTGTAAAAGCGTCAATTGTTCGCGAATTAGCGAAACAGTTGGAAGGATCACTTTCACGAACAGGACCGGAACTCGATATCCGAATTGATCGGCATGGTCAACTCGTTCTTCATCTATCTGTAGGTGAAATATGGAAGGATGTCTGCAGTCTGATCGATGGTAATGCGATATGACGATGAGCGCGCTATGCAAAACTACTTGTTTGTAAAGGAGACTGGCACTAGCGTCAGGCTGCAGTCTACATGTAACTACATGTAACGCTCTACGATTTACCATGGTTAGTGAAGCACGGGCAAAGCGCATTCAGAATACGATTGCAGAATCCACGGGCTCGATTGTTCCAGCCAGCGATGGTATCGCCACCCTTCAATCTACTGCCTGCACACACACACACACATACACACGAATAGCCAACATGTTATAAATATCAATCTCGAAAGATAATTATAATTGCGCGACGTTCTACTTTGTGTAAGTAGCTCTCTACGGAGTGTCCGACCTAACTTGATCATTTGAAATAGCCCCGTTGCTATTGATGACACGGGAAAATGTGTAAAAAAGGAAACTGCGTTTGACAAATATAGATTAGAATCTTTTTGTTAAACTTAAGTTTTCTTCTCGAGATGATTATTATCTTTTATAGTATTAATATCGTGGACTTTTTTTTTATATTAATTGGATATTAACATATTAACTAAGAATTAAATGATTAGATTATAAATAAAAAAAATGTTTAGTTTATAAATATCGATTTTTCTTTCTTACAATGTTGATCCCTTATAGAATCATTTTTTTGCTTACATATTTTCTCGTATCATCCATGTAACGATAGATATATTACACGAACGTAAGCGTACTTCTACTCGTTAATTTAAATTTGCGTTCAATAAATTATACTTATTAAATTATTAACTACCACTCTATGTATTCATCAATATCTAAGTTTCAGTTATCTCTATCTAGCAATTTAATCATCTACATTTATCAAAGTGTCTCTTCTTGTACTCTTTGCCTACTTTTTTCCTCTATCCAGAATATAAAATATTTACCGTTTTATTTATATCCGTCTTCTTTTTCCTTCGTTACAGGCGACGCGAGTCAATTGAGAATATTTTAACCCCGTAAATTAGATAATTTAAGCCGTAAAAATTAAAATGTAGCACCGAGGATTTGTACTTACCTTCGCCTGTGTCAGCTCCCTGAAACATAAAAAGAAAATATTGCATCGCCCGATCTTTATCGCATATTAATAATCATCTTGGATTTTGTTTGCTATCGTGAATTTTTTCTAATCGCATGATAAATTATGGGTTTCTTTACCTCCGACTGAATTTTTCTTTTCGAAGCTTCCGTAGCGGCAGTTTCTATCACTTCGCTGATAAATTTCGTGGTTTCTCTCATAAGTTCCTCATCCTCCTTGAAAGCCTCCTTCCGCTGCTCTAACGTTCCTGTCATCAAGTTCTTCTCATGGTCGTCCATGTTGATGGTGGAATGATATGATATGGACATCTGATTCGTCATAATATCATCGACGACAGCGATTTCCGTGCGCTAGTTCTTTACAATTAAAATTATCCTCGATTAGACGAAAGAATCTTACGCGAATTAAATACAAAATTCTTTTCTCACTTATCTATGACACAAATGTACTTAGTTACCTTATAGAATTTAATGCATAAGAAATATATTATGGAATATAGTAATGGAAGCAGTTTAATAAAAATAAACGACCAATGTGTGAACTGGAACGATGACGGATACTCAATAATTTTAGATCGAATTATCTCTTCCTCTCTTCTTTTCTCTCTCTTTCTCTTTTTCTCTCTGTGATCACCGGCTTGATATTAATTCCCTGATAAGATCGTCGCGATGGACCCCTCGCGCTTTCGAGTCATCCGCGCATATATTGGTCAATGATCGACGGCAGAAACAGGGGTTGAATCCAATAATTTCGATGCTTTCAGATTTTGTCGTTACAGACACATTGCAATGAACAAATATAAATCAAATCTATTAATGAACAAAAATATATTTTATATCGATTATTGTTTCTTCAGGTGACACAACTGTACATTTTTTAATCGTGTCTTTAAATTATTATTTTATCTTATTCATTGTATTAATGAGCTTATGCAAATGTATGTAATTGCCAGTGATAAATACGCTGTAGATAAGTCATGTTCCGGTACTCCTTGCAAAAGTCTGATAAAAAGTCATGGTTTTCATAAAATTATTCTACATAAATTTACATTTGATTTGCTGATAAAAGATTCTTGGCGGAATACAGATTTGCAAATAATTTTGTTGGGTCATTCAAATTGATTGCTAGAAGATCAAAAATTTTTACAATATTATCATTAAGCAAACTATTGATCAATTTAGAATTTCAACAGAATTTTTAAATGCTTCAGCAAAAGCATTCTTCTTTTCCATAGATACATAATAATGCTAAATTACTTTCCCATATGTTTAAGAAATACTACTGTTCTATTTGTGTATACGTGTGCGTATGATTTTTTTCATACATCTTTGCCCAATTTATTATCCATATTAAATTATCCATTTAATCCATTTCGCTTGATCGCGCGAGTCAGTAGAACTCACCAGGTGAAGTTACACCGGTTTCAATTCCAGCATCCGATCGGCATTCGGAACGGCCGCCGTGACAAACGGTATCATTGCTGAATTTCCAATTAACACGATAATATGTGTGACGGATACACCGACGTAAATACGACGGCGAATGACGGATGTGCCACAGGTGGTGTGTGTTGTTTCACTGCGCATACACCGTCACATCGTATGCAGCGTACACTGGTCTCTCTCTCTCTCTCTCTCTCTCT